GAAACTTGTCATGGCTATTTTTCACTACTTTAAACGATTAATCAAAAGAATTACAAGCAGATTAATCGATAATGACCCTTGTTGTAGCCCTAATTATTTTGTACAAACAAAATCACTTTAATGTGTTTACAAACTTTGGGGATAAACTCAAAGCAGGATTATCTGGCACCAAATTAGGGCATAAACTGACAGGTCACTCACTGTTGGTTTTTGCAGTCAATCTCTGTTCAGTTTCCACGGTAATATCCAGAATCCCTTCTTAATTTATGAATGTATATTGATGGGGACATTAACATCTCATAAATAACCGGGATATGACCTACTATCCAGCAGACTCTGTGGGATATAAATCACTTCCTGAACGTTCCATGAAAGTTAATGGCAGCAGTAAGAGAGGAGAACGAAGGGGGGGGGGGCTGTCTACTGTGCACCCGTATCCGCTGGCCCACGTTCCTGCTCTGGGATCGAGTGTGTGGAGCTTTGGACATGATCTGCGTTCCGAGCCTTATCCCAGGCTCCCTAAGTAGGCGGTCTGGAAGTCTGAGCTCCAGATCCGCTGGTAGGTGGCCAGGGATTGCGGAGGGAGGGTGGAAGGTCCGAACGGCTGCGCTGATTTGAGATTTGTTTGCCACGGCAACCCCGCTTGCTTTTTCCACGCTGAAAATGCAGGCACGGCAGGAGACTGCACGCATGCTGATTTTTCCGCCTCGCACCCTATAGCAACCCCAACCCCCCTCACCAATCCCCGCAGCCCGAACGGCGACGTCTGCATTTTCATCCCCACAGTAAGCAATCAATACCCACTTTAACAGGACTCTCGGCAGAACACACTCATGACGGTTTCTTTTCAACCTCTGTTTTCCTAGCAGTACATTCTGCAGGAGGTAGTGGGGTCGATGCAGGGGGAAACAGGGACGGGGGGGGGAGGTGGGGTTGAGGGCATTATGGGATGCTGCAGCTGGTGACAATAGCCATATGGCCCTCGGATGAATTCTGTCCTTTTTCTGCTGCAGCCGCGGAGCGAACCTCGACTGTCGCTGATGATAAACAGAGGGCTACTACCCCCCACCCCCACCCCCCCACCCCACGGCAGCCTTGCAATGCCAGACTAGGAGCTACACAAGCTACGATTACTGCAAAAGTCTGTGCAATTGTCCCACTTCTGCTGGAATGAACTACTCACACCACAGTCACGCTCACTGCACAGGGGGGACTGCTGTCTGGGCCACCCA